TGGAAGCCGGAGAAGGGAAGTCGCGTCCCTACCTCTTTAAACGTGAATTCGTACATGGGAAATCGGTCATCGTCGTACTTCGAGCATATGCGGTCTTTCGCTCGTGGTCGACACGCACAGAATCGACGAGGGATGTCGGCCACCCGATCCTCGATTGTCGCAAACGCATCCGAGTCATCATGGACACACCTAGACATATAGCTTAAGGGCTCCTCCCTGGCCCACTCCTCCACATACCTCTCTGAAGGCTCCGGGCCGACATCCTCGCGGTCCGCCTCATCCTCAGATAAATACCACTCCACCTCCTCCTCGACGGGACCAGCCATGTTGTACCTGAAAAGCAGAGGAACTCGGTGAATTCGACAGTTAATCAAATCCACCCTTCCACCGCAATCCAAGTGAAAGGGCATGGTCGTCGAACCGCCCACAGGGAAATCCGGGGATAACCTCTCTCCCGAGGGAACCAGAAAAGTATGTCCCCTCTCCCCGGCGCATTCATCTGCTTGTGCCCGGCGCATTCATCCACTTGTGCCCAGGGAATTCATCCACTCTTCCTCGGGGCCTTCGAAACCCTTCTGAATCCTCCCCGGTGCACTCATCGCGAGGGCCGGAGGCAATCGTTTCCTACCCTAATTTTGGAGGGCCCTCCGGCGTACTCGCCGGAAAAACCTGCAGTATTCCTGGCGCCGCCGGCAGAGCCACCAGAAATACCACCATAAACAACCAAACAACAAGAAAGGCACAAAAACTTAGGTGATGATGATGCGGAAAGATGAGCGTCGAGCAGGAGCGTACGAAAAAATTCCCAGAAACCGAACAGGAGCGATCAAATTGTCGGGCAGAAAGTCAGAGACGTTGAGTAACTGCAAAAAGCGAATGAACGAAATAACGAGCCAGGTCAACGACTATATACCCCTAGCACCGAAAACAAAGTGTCGTTAGGCATTCAAGTGCCTAGACCCTAGGCGCCACAAGAAGACACGTGGCGACTCTTCACCTTTTGTGCATCTCCTCACGTTCTCCCCGACCACGTGGCCCTTCAATAGTTCACCCGGTCCGCCGACAGGTCTCACCTGCCCGACCCATCAGCGCGTCCGACGCCATTCCTTACTTAAGTCACAGCTCGCCTGATTGCGAACTACGACTTAAGGGGCTACTGTTCTGGACTGGGCCGAGGCTTAGCCCATAATCGCACAGGCTCAAACCCCATTGAGGTTGGGCCCAATAGGACCACGCTATCGAGCTGGGGCCCTGAGGCACAACATTCATCCGAGCAGGGCGAAGGCCCTCATCGGCCGAGCAGAACCCTGGTTGCCAACCATCCAGCCTCGCCTCTCCTCATCGTCGGCCAGGACCCTCACGTCCAACCAGACGACCACGTCTGGCCGGGGAACTCCTCAAGACTTCCCCCACGATCTCCACGTACCCCTCACGCAGGGACACGTCATAAGGTAACTCCCCATTTCCGGAAGATACGGTCTTCCTCCTCCCGGATAGTGCGGAGCAGTTACACTAGGGAGTAGACCACGTGCTGGTCTCCGCGATGCCACATCATTTCTAGCAGTTGCCAACATTGGGCCTGGCAGCCCAGCCCAGTGCTAAGAAATCGTTGGCCCTGCGTCGGGGTCTCACTATAAATACCCTCTTCACTAGAGGGTCAGGTAACTTAATCTTCTTACTCTCTCTCCGTAGTTGCTTCCACTCTGCCTGTCACTTACTTTGGCATTGGAGTGTGTTTCAGGCACACCCCTCTCCTCCTCTACAACACCCTGGTGAGCAGCATTCAAGTCTTCGACATGTGGTAGATCGTTGATCCTTTCTAGTCAGGTACGATCAACCCTCAAACTCACAATCCTAATCTGTAAGCTCTGATATCAGTTGTTGGAAAAATAACAACAACAAAAATTCTAAGCACGCGAAAGCAAAAACTCATAAAATCATATTTTAACTTGTAATTTTTAAGGAAAAATTACAAACCCTTCCATACAATTGCAACTTTTAAGGAAAAATTATAAACCCTCTCTCAATTATAATTTTTGGACGAAAAATTAAAAGTCTTCACTCAATTGCAATTTTTGGACAAAAAATTATAAACCCTCTCTCAATTACAATTTTTAGACAGAAAAATAAAAAACTCCCTCTAAACACAGAACTACCCGAATCTCCAAAACACTCAAAATACTACATTTTGTTGTTGTGTGAAAAACTAAAACTAATTATCTCTATTTATATTAATACTCAATTTCTATTTTTTTTCATTACCCGATGTGGGACTTGTATAAATATACTATTTGACCCAACAAATCATCCCTTCATCCAAAGTTTCACATATCTTCACTTTGTCTTCAACTTTATCTTCAAAGCGATCATTATAGTTATAATGATTAAGCATATTTGTAAAATTATTACTCTTCAATCATTTTTTGTCTTCTTCCTCCCTTGATTAGAATAATTGTTACTCTTCCTTCCTCCTTTGGTCAGCAATCATTATAATTATAATGATTAGGCATATTTGTAAAATTATTACTCTTTAATCTTTTTTTATCTTCTTCCTCCCTTGATTAGAATAATTGTTACTCTTCCTTCCTCCCTTGGTCAGCAATCATTATAATTATAATGATTAGGCATATTTGTAAAATTATTACTCTTTAATTCTTATTCCTAAAGGTCATAGACTCACCCAAACAAGTGACAGAGACACCACATATTCACCTAAAACCTGAAGGTGACAGTGTATGGGTCCTCTTATTTATAAAGTGTTTAACCTCCACTTTTCTAAACAATGTGGGACTTAGAACTCACAATTGTTTCTTCACACAACTCACACTTGTTTTCCAACATGTTTTTCAACCACTCTGCAGTCCAAAATAATGTTCTCTCTTTGTGTTTTTAGAGAAGTACATCTATTGTTTGTGGTGGGGATTGCAGAACTTGAAGTTTGGTTTTATGATTTGTAAAATCTTTCCTTCATTGTTGATTATGTGTTGTCACCATATGGCCAATGTAACTTGTTTTTCTTTTACCTTATAATGTTTCACAAGAAATGGAACGGAAACAGACACTGTCTATGGTGCTCTAACAAACCAGACAACAAGAGAAAAGAGATGAAGAGGTCTTGTCCTTTACAGGAAAAAAAATATTTTCACACAAAAACTGTTTACCTGTCATGCTAACTCAACAATAGTTAACGTTTTTTCACACAAAATAAGATATGGATCAAATGGTTTAACAGTGAAGTTAATGAATCATTATATAACATTTTTTAATTTTGGAGAGCAAAGCAAAACTTTCTCAAAATTAAAAGATCTAAAGACTAATTATGCCATAACTTTACACCATTATTTATTTAATGGCATTATGCTAAATCATACTATTAATATTTTAATTATATATTAGTCTCTAACTTTAATGTACAACAATTATATTATATTTAAATATATTAATGTAATCTTTATAAATAAAAATTATAAGTTAGAATCAATTGCATGGTAAATTAACTTAAATGGTCATGTTCAAATGTGTCAATATCAATTTTACGTATTTGAAATCACATTTAATCATAAAAAAATAATTTAAAAAAGAAATTTTTTGCATAAGCTACTTTATTTACAAATTATACACAAGTGTTTATTAAAATAAATACTTATAAACAATTTTGCATAAGCTATTTTTAGAACAACAAAAATTAAATAGTTTTATATATGGTCTATGTTACTTTTACAAATTATTTTGAAGAACTTATAAAAAGAAACTCAAAAAAGAAATTTAATAATGTGTTATAAGATGCTTTGATTAAGACTATTGAACAGAATCACAAAACTTATGGCTAGTATAGAAGCTCCAATAAACCAATCCAAACATATAGGTAAATGAAAAGGAACAAAAAGCACATATGATTAGTTCCAAAAGGAAAAGAAAGGTGTAGTTAAAAACTACGTATCAACCTTTCTATTGGAAGCTAAAACCATCCCTATTGAGTGTTAACTTTCATCATTCCTAATAATAATAAACCTTTGAGTCACTATCATAGCTTACTAAAAACTATACGAAGAAAACCCAAAAATATGACATGTGATATGCAAAGGAGCAAACAAAACCGTAATGAATCTTAGGACACTGCCCTTATACAATATACAACCTGTTTCTTTCATCAACAGTTTCTAATGTTGATGGACAATGACTTGTCAGTCAAATGCTACCAAAATTTCAAGCACGAAAGAGATTGGTATTGATATATATTTTACCTTCCATGAGAAGGATGAAAACTAAATCGAGTAGAAAACAGTTAAAAATAAGACCTATCCTTATTTGAAACAGAGACAGAAATAACCATATACCAACATATCAAGCCAAAATCATACACAAGTTTGAATATGCAAACTTATAATGTCGGGTTATTTGGGTTTAATATCTTTTTGTGACAAGGAGAAAATGCTTCATTCTGCATCTTGGTTTTGCACCAAGTTGGAAATAAACAACAACTTTAGAGCAAACTAGCTCATTTATTGTAATCTGCATGTTTTTTTCTTCCAAATTTCTAGTTGAAACTAGAAATGAAATAAGTACATATTAACAAGAAGATACAACACAATTACTACAAATTGCAATCCAACAACATAGATGAAGCAAAAGAAACACACATTACATAGTCTTAGTCAAAGCTTGAAGAATAAATATAAAATACATAACAAAACCGGGGGACTGAAATGGAAATAGAAAACCTGAATGAATCATTCAAACCAGATTTTCTTCATTCCCACACGGTTTTTATAAGCCATTGAATTGTAGTAGAAACATCTGAAAATCCAAACTCAAGTTATTCTTGAAGGACACCAACCAAATCTCTTTAGGAAATCATCTTCAAAACAACTGGTGAACCTGAACACAGACAAAATACAGTAAAAAAAATTGCAGTGAGAACAAACAGATAGAACACAATTGAAATTTCATGTAGTACTGAAACAGAACCTGAAAGTTTGGATTTATTTTGAGTGTTTCGATCAATGGCGAGAATCAGAGGAAGCAGAGGACGGTTTATCAGATACACCGTCGTGTTCCTCTTCACCTTGAATTCGTGTTGGTATGCGAAAGCCGGAGAATCCACCACCAGAGACAGAAGCCTGATGGATCATTGGTGAAAGATAGTGATGGTGGTGATCGGTCATATTCGCCGTCCCCGCCATGGATGGATCTATCCAAGCACGAATTGAAGGATTGTTACTGGACTGAAGGGGTCCCCTCTGAGAAAAAAGCTGGCCAAAACCTCCGAAAGCCGGGGCGGGTGTGCTGAACACAAATCCAGCGCCCTGGCCACTGTTGCCACCATCTGCAGCATTGACATTAGCATTCCAAGCCATCATTCTATGCAATCTTCCATTGTCATGTTCCTCTTGATGCTGCTGCTGCTCAGACCACATGTTGGTTCCACCACCGTCGAAACCGAGTGAGGAGTTTCCAGCAAAAAGTACTTGGTGATTGTGGTGGTGGTCATGGTGGTTTTGAGATTGATGGTGAAGCATAATGGGATCTTGAAAAGATTGCAAGGAGAGGCGGAGATCTTGCTGAGTGGTTGCGGCCGTTCGGGAGAGCAAATCCGGCGGTTGTGGGTAGCTGTGAAACGAGGCTGTGGGCGTTTCAACTGGAAAAAACGATTTAATAGTATCAGCAATGTCGGTATCCAATGAGCCATGAAGAAAACCATGCTTCCCGCTACTGTTATTATAGTCTATCTCTAATGGCTGGGAAGAAAATTGTTCCTGCGGTATTCTTCGCTCTAATGCCGCTGAGCGGTGACTGGTGGATGCGGTTACAGGACTGTTGTCCACCGGGGACTGCCGGCGGTACAACTCGTTAGTTTGCTGCTGCTGCTGTGGTGTTGAACATGTGGCGGTGGGGTTCCACGCGGGAAGCTGAGCGAGTTCGTCAATGGCGGATTTGGCTTTTTTGATAAGCCAATCAACTGCCTTACTAGGTCGGTCGTAGCCCAAACGGTCTTGCACGTCGTAGAATTGGATCGCGGTGTGAGCTGAGAGCCGTACACGGCGGTCACGGGGACCTTTCGCAGTGCAAACTTTGCTGTGACGGTCTTTCCGTCCCGTAGACCGGACAATGTGACCGCCTTCGACCTCCACGATTTCTCCACCTCCACCTGTTCTCTTTGAAGAGGTTGCTGCTGTTTTTGTTTTAGCTGTCGGGTTAGCTGTTTCTGTTGCTTGTGTTGTTTCTCCCATCTTTCTTGCATATTCGATGGAAGAGGAGAAAGATGATGGTGTTGTAGGTTGTTGATTTGGGTGAAGCGGTGGAAGAAGAAATGAACGTTTCTTTGATGGTTGAATTGATTCCGGTTCCGGTTCTGGTTCTGGTTCCTGCTCCGGCTCTGGTTCTAAATCTAGATGTTGTTGGAAGTATGGGTGATGAAAAGGAAAGGTTGGGTCTTGGTATTGATAGTGTTTTTGAGAAGAATTTTGTTCATCATCTTCTTCTTGTTCATCTGGTATATGATGGTGAGGATGTTGTTGGTTGTGTTGATGATGGTGATAAAGAGGATGGTGATTAGTTCTGGGAGGATCCAGACTCAGACCCTTATTTTGTTTATCTTCTTCCAGCTTTTAACACAACTCTACTATACTAGTAATGTTTTTTTGATGCTTTCTTGTTCTTACACTGCCACCACTCTGAGACCCAAAACTTACTTCCCATTTCCATCATCATCACCATCAAAACAAAACCCAAGAATCAATGTTTTGAGTTTATGAGCCTAACCCATTTCTCTCTCTAAGTCTGCACCATTTTTTTTTGCCTTTTTTTGCAAGTGGAAGAGTTTGTTTGTTTGTTGTGCACTAGTAATAATGATAATAATAATGTTGCATTAATAAATGAATGAAAGTAGTGGGTTAATAACCAGGGGAAGAGGTGTCCTGTTGCGAAAAATCCAGCAAATTTTCCATATCTCAACACACAGGAAGACAAGAGAAGGAAAGAAGAGAGAGATAAGAGTAAATAAAGAGTGTATAGTATAGGGAAGAGGAATTGATTCTGACCCTATAAAAAAGAGGGTTTTGATGATGATGGCAGTGACAATGGGTGGCAGTGTTTGGTCAGAATGGACGTTTTATTTCATCACTGCACCTCTGCTGCTCTTTTTTTGTTGTACTATCCAATATCCATTCATTCATTCAACTTTCACCAATTCACTCATCATTATTAATGGTAATTCACAATTTAACTTGCTGCTGGTTAAAAGTTAAAACTGTTGGTTTTTTATTCAGTAGAGGAATGAAATATTCATATTTAATCACATGTCATTTTTTATATATAATTTATTTTAAAATAAATTAATATTTTTAATCAATTTATATTATAAATATCATATTCAACTATTTATCATAGATATTTAACAACTTCTCCTTTATTTCAAAAAGGACTGTGTAACGATGCCTTTGTTGGAGATAGATCCTTTCTATGCATGCCACACCTTTTGAAAGGGACAACATCACAGCTTTTTTATCTTTCTCTTTCTTTAAATTTTTTTTCTCATTTAAACGAAATTTCACGGTAACATCGATAGCTGAATTTACTTGTTCCTCGAAACTACTATACTTCTACTATCTGGGTTGTGAAATTACTGTATGTATGCATAATACGTCATCTTCAAGGCTTCCTTTTCTGAAAGTAACACTGTCTGCCTAAGTTTTTGCATACGGATTTCATGTTCTTCATAAAGTCAAATTGTTTCCTTTTTTCGTTTGAGAAAAATTATAGTAAATAAGCTACGAGTCTCCCCGTTGAATAACAAAATAAGTTCAAATGTGGTACTAATACATGCTAAGTCTATCTTTGATTCAATGTTTGGTGCCTCAAAATTTGATCTTATTGGTGTAAAATTGATTTTACATGTTTAATTGTTTTTTTAGTAGAAGTCTTTTTTTTTTATAATTGATTTTAATTTCAGAATAGAATATTTAACTTAAAAATGATTTTTATATTAAAATTATTGTTTAATTCACTTTTATATAAATGTATTTAAATATAAGTTATTAAACATTTTATTTCAAAATCAATTTTATAAAATTAATTTACTCAAAATTAATTTTTATTTTTCTATAAAATTAAAATTAAACACAAGCTAAAAAGTTCTTTCACCTTATAAAAATTTCTCTTCTCTAATTATACGAGAGTTGCATCAAAATAATGAATTTATTATTATTAAAATTTGCATCAAATACAATGTTGTTGACTAAAAAATATCTTATATTTAGAATTAGAGAAAGTGTGCCAGAAGCCTTTTAAAGATAGACATCATCAGGATGGTGTTGTTTTCTGATATGTCTTTTAGGAGTATCATCAGACTCTTATCTCGCATTTCTTTATCTTTGAGATTGATATGACGATTTCTCACTAGGTTGGTAATAAGAGTAGGTTTATATGAGTTTAATTTCTCATTTATCAAGAGATTTTGTCCCCTTTATAAAGAGGATTTAAGGCTTATGTTTGAACAATTACATAGCTCCGCAACCCTCCTGCATCAACACTATCAAGGTTTGGAAGTAGGGTGGGATGAATGGCAAAGTAAAAACTCATTTGGTCAATTGGCATGATGTTTGTAAGCCTAAGCATTTGGGAGGCTTTATTATCCACGATCTTCGCCTTGCTAATCTAGCTCTCATATGTAAGTGGTGGGGGAGATTGCTCTTAGGAGCTTCTAGGATTTGCTATGATATTCTTTTTACTTGATATACAAATCTTGTGGTTTCTTCTCTCTTAAGGGGTAGATCTTCGAGGCCTCACTCTTCTTCTTCCTAGTAGAGATGGTGTCTCTTTTATGATCTAAGAGTGATGCATCCTATAATTGGTTCATTGATAGGATTCGTATAAAGGTGGAGAAAAGGATGTGTATGCCTCATTCTAGAACTGATCTATGGGTGGGATATATCCCTCTTCAAATTCCTTTGAAGCAACTTTACCATATCTTATAGCAAAAAAAGGGAAATGGGCGATTGTTGGGAAGATGGTAATTTAGTTTGGGATCTCAAGTGAACAATTCCCTTGTTTAATTATGAACAAGAGTTGGTTAATGACTTGCTCTTGACTATTCAGAGTATTATCTTCTCCATGGAGAGAGATCGTTGGTGTTGGCATTCTTGGGAGGATTGGATTTACTATATTTCTTATTCCTTTAAAGCTTTATTTTTGGCTAATTTTAACTTTATTATTCCCTTTAATAGTTTAGTTCCGATTTTTTATTATATTTGGTGTAGTTTGGTTCCCTATAAAGTAATGGACTTTTCTTGGTAATTGCTCCAAGATAAAATTGTTACACGTGAGAATTTATTAAGAGGGCAGGTTATTCTTGACCTTGATGGTCTTTCTAGTGGGTTATGTGTTATGCCTATTGAGTTTGTTTCTCGCATGTTCATCACCTGTGAGGTGGTATCAAATCTTTGGCATAAGATTTTACGATGGACTAGGAGAATGTTTGTCTTACCTAATACTATTACCTCGCTCTTCGAGGTTTTCACTTCTATAGGGGGTTCGATGGGGGATAGATGAGGTCTTATGATTGTTTGACATGCAGTGATTTGGACTATTTGAAAATTTCATAATGACTCCATTTTTTAAAGAAAGTTTCTAAATGAGAAGGACATGGAAGATAAGAGTATTTCTCTTGCCTGAAAATTGTATTTGGGTAGGTTTTCGGGTTACTTGTGTACTTTTTCTACCCGACTTGAGAATCTTATTCTTTGTCAGAGCCAATATCAGTTTGAGAGTCCTTGACATGGATTCTTGAGGTTGTGTTCTTTTTTTGGTGGTTTCGTTAGATGTTGTCATGTCGATTGTTGTTTACATCTATTGAATTCTAGCTTGGCATCTCTTTTGGATGTGTTACTGGTTGATCTTTTGTTTTTGTTTATTAATGAGTTCCTTTGTGGGTTATGGACATTTCTTGATTCTGTTTTTAATTCCTACTTTATTGCAATTTTATTTGTACTTGGACCTTTTCTAATATTTATACATATATATTTTTCTATAAAAAATGGTTTTTTTGTCTCATTTCATTGTTTAAAGGATTTAAACCATATAACATTGGATGTGATTACAACTCTAATTTTATAAGTGCCAGGAGAGATAGATAAAAGAATTAAAATAAAGTGACAAGGATTAAATAGAGGAAAATGATAAGAGATGGATAAAAAATAAATAGCACAAAAGAGGAGAGCAGAGAATTATAGCAGTAGATGATCGAGGTCAATGGTTTAAGACTCATTTTGGATAAACAATTAATAATACAAAGGCTTATTATGAGAAACAATTATATATTTGTTTTATATTAGTTGTTTTATAGTCAAAGATAAAATAAAGTTAAACTATTTAGGTATATGTGATAAATAATTTTCATAATTTATCTTAGATAAGGTTATGGTGCCAAATTAGGTTTGACTCGTCGGACATGTCTATTTTCCCCGCATTTTTTTGCGAGACGATTCAAGGTTTTAGGCTCACGCACTTTAATGTTCCCGCCTCGCCTCGTATGTTTGCGGGTTTTGTCGGCACGAGCTTTCACATACAACTTTATACACCCTCCGATTACTATTATAAGCAAATTTAACTTTTTGTGGTACATTTGACTATTAATGTATCTAGTCCATATATAGACTAGATATATTAATAGTCAAATGTACCACAAAAAGTTAAAAAAAATTTTATAATAGTGACCAGAGGGTATAATTTTTAGGCCCAAAAAGTTCAATGCCCGCGGGACCGCTCCACCTCGTCCTCACTTTTATGTGGGTGTTTACACTGAAAATTGGCAAACAATCGCTATCTTAATAAAGGTTACTTGTAGGATCAGCTAGGAAATCCTAGGACATAATTCTAAGACCTTGTTTTATAGTTTTCAATTGAGAAAAGCCTGATTTCGACTTGGTCGAAATAGTGATAAAAATGTTGTAAAAATATAGATTTCAACAGTAATGAAAGTGAGAAATATTGTAAGAACCGAAAGTAAAAAGACAATGCAATTGAATGAAGATGAAAGTAACTAAGCAAGAATAGTAAAGTGAATTTAAAGACTTTGTATTGAAATAAAAGTGGTGTTTCAAGGTTCATACATTCTCTCAGTGATAACGTTTTTCTATAAACGTTGGTACTTCGAGTGTAAGTGATATTTTGTAATGAAATGAACACCCCGAATTCTACAAATGAAATTCCTATTTATACTAGAATGAAATGA